CCTTAGCTCCAATCTCATATCGTGGAGCGCACGAAAGCAGGCAACGGTGTCAAGGTCAAGTACAGAGGCGGAATATAAAGCACTTGCTGATGCTACTGCAGAAATGATGTGGATTCAAAAGTTACTTGGAAAGTTAAAAATCCTACATCCTCCTATGGCTAGACTGTGGTGTGATAATATCGGTGCCAAGTATTTGTCAGCCAACCTTGTGTTTCATGCAAGGACTAAACACATTGAGATAGACTTCCAGTTTGTTAGAGAACGAGTTGCACAAGGACTACTTGACATCATATTCATTCCTTCGGCAGATCAGCTTGCAGACGGTTTCACAAAACCAATCAGTCTTCCCAAGTTGATACAGTTTAGAAGCAATCTCAATCTTGTGGCAGGTTGAGATTGAGTGGGGGTGTTAAGATAAGGATATCTTAGAGGCTATGTGCCTAGCCAAGGTTTGTTACGTGGCGTGTAACTCAAGTAGATAGTTGTTAGGATATTGTTGTGATCCATATCTATTGTAACTTGATCCCTTATACAAGTCACGCCATGGGGCTTTTTCTGGCTATATTAACAAGCAACTGAGAGCCTGAGAAGCCATCTCGTTCACCCTATTTTGACACCGGACTGATCAGGATTCAGGAGTGTCTAGCTCAATTGACTGAAGGTGCACCGTCACAAGATTAGAGCTACGGAATTAATTCAGGTCACTATATATATCTCTAATCTGTCAGCTAGTTATACATATTTAGCCCCGTTCGGCTCGCTGAATCTTGGTTGAAATTGGCTGAAAAACACTGTTCTGGCTGAAATGTTGTGAGAGAAAAGCATTGTTCCGGCTGAAAAAAAAAACAAACAAGCCGGATATGGGATAAGTCGAACGGGCCACATAGAACCAAATTACCAACATATAGTTTCTATATTTTTTCCCCAACTTCATCGAGGATATGGCATGTAGCTAAATACTTGGAGTATGTTCTAGCATCTAAATACTTTAGTGATATATCACTGAGAGTCTGAGATACACGCACCATTACTCCCTCGGGAGGCGGAGCAAATACATTTCTTTTTCTTTGTTTATTAGGAGAGCCAACAATACAAATATTGTTAAAATTTGGTCTAATTTGACCCCTCCCCCCTCTTCCGGCCAAGAAAAGCATAACGCTCCGACCGGACAGAACGCAAGTAAATCCCCTTGGGTCAGAAATATCATGTCTTTCGACTAGCCGTCTTGTTGAAGATTCATTTGTTCTACGTTAAACTAAATTTATATGAATATAAGTATCAATATTTATGATGCTAGATAAATAAAGATTATTAGATTTATTTTTTGAAATATATTTTTTATAATAAGTCCATTTGCGGTCATAAATGTTGATAATACTATTTATAAACTTGATCAAATATAAGATACTTTCAATTATGACAAAACCAAAAATATTACTCTTCACAGAATGAAGGTGTTGTAGAAAGCACCGAGACTAAAGCATTCTTTATTTGAAACGCACGAATTTCACATGAACTTTACACAAATTTCACAGGTATTCTCTTAGTTTTTTTCATAGAGAAAACGTAGAAAATAAGGAAAAATCATATTTAAAAGACAATCCCTTATTTCAGCAGACAACCCGCCTGTTCGGAGGCCGTATCCTATCGTGGATTATTTACTGCTGGCTGGTTTGATATGAGAGAAAAATACTATTCCCAGCTGAAAATTTACGATCGTTTACTAGCAAACCAACATGCTGAACGATTATAATTGCATCCATACTTCATCAGTACGGTAGGACACCTTTTCCATGTTTGCTTCGCTTGCCTGGCCAACAGTGCACTACAGATGCAATAACACCAGTCACCAGTGCAACAATTACCTGTCACAGGTCACACCGACTAGTAGCTGCTGTGTACACTGCCACTGCATGCTTCCTACGCCTACCACCATCATCATATCCTGGCTGGCTGCACCGCTGCAGGAGGAAGCAGAGTTGCCTGGGATTTGCATCTTGCCGGCGCAGATGAGGAGCACAGCAGGCTCAAGAGAGCGTAGGGCCTTGATTGCATTTTTTTTTTGCAATCCGGACACTGTAGCACGTTTCGTTTGTATTTAACAAACTTTGTTTGATCATGGACTAACTAGACTCAAAAGATTCGTCTCGTGATTTACAACCAAACTATGTACAATTAATTATTATTTTTACCTATATTTAATACTCCATATATGTGTCCAAAAATTGATGTAATAGAGAGAGAAGTGAAAAAACTTGGAATTTTAATGGGATCTAAGGCCTAGATGTGCCAATAAAAGGGTAAGCAAGCCGCGAGACGAAGAGCGCCTTTTTCTGCCATGCGCCCACGGCAGGAGGGACAAGATCGAGGGGAAAAAAAAGCGTAGGTGAAGTGGTGTCCGCTGTGTCCCCTCCCTTCTCAGGAACGTTTCGTCCTTTTTTCACCCAAACCCAACGGAGCGTGCAAACTGAATGTTTGGTTGATTGGAAGAAATTAGGTGTGCAATCAACACGTTTGGCTGGCAATCGTGTGGAACTACTTTTGGTTGGGCATCAGATGAATATCGTGCTCGAGGGCGAAAATGTCTAAATGGAGGGAGATTTCACATATATCGTATATATACGAAGAAACATTAATAATTACTACAAAAAAAAAAAAACTGATCCATCGAAAAGAAGGCAATGAAAGAAAAATAGTATTGAAAAAAGAATTCCATGTCCTGCTAGACATTAAAAAAAGAATTCCATGTTTATTTTGTTCAAAAGCTGGAAATCAGTTCCATGATTTCACCGAAAGACTGATTCAACAGGCCAAAGACTGATAAACATGGAATTCTCAAGAACATTGCAAGATTCCTAATAAGAAACCTCATGAGCATGAAGCAATCTCTACTTCTCGTACAATGCCTATTCCCTATAAAATTTGAGGCAAATCTCTTTTTTTGTATTATAGAAAAGTGGATCCCAACTAAATTTCCACAGTGCAAATGTGTAAGGTGTACCCAGTTGACCAGTTCTCCCTTTCAGCTTCAGAAGAATCTGTCCTCCCATCCATCACGTTTTTTTTTTTGGTTGTGAATTATGAATGTTTTCTTCAGCAACGATATGCTTTTATCTTTTAAAAAGTGTAGAACAAGCACGTGGCAAGTTAAGGGGAAAAAACTAATGGGAAAAAATGTTCTTCAGGCCTTCTTCCCCAATTATTCAACGAAGTGGCAATGAAGCTGGAAATAATAAAACTAGCAGTATGTACCCTGCAGAAGAAGCAGAAGGCGATGCCAAACAAAATAAGCAGCACAACAGGTCGTCGCGCCCGGCTCCTGCGCGAATCCCGCACCGCAAAGTCGCCAGCTGATCGGCGGTAACGCTGTGGTAACCGATGCCACTAGCTCTCCGATCATCATCACTCGCCATCATCTGAAACAGGCCGACTAGACGGACGGCAGTGGGAAAATGTTGGCGCGTCGCGGTCCACGTCCACCCGACCACCCCTGCAGTCTCGGCAAATTGGATTCCATGGAAAACTACCCCCGCGCTCGGTTCGGATCAATCGATGGCGTGAAAGGCGACTTGTCTGACCGGTCGGGGAAAGCGGCGCGGGGCGATCACGAACAGCTAGTGAGCAAGCGAGCCCCCGGCCGCCGATGGTACCGAGAGAGAGCGAGGGGCGTCGCTTTCGGCGGCCGGGGGTGTGTCCCCGGGCTGTAGCCCTGCGCCGCGGCAGGCCTCGCGCGGGCGTCAACACCGATCCGTGTCGCGCCCCCGGCCGGTGGATTAGGTCCCCGCCTTTATGACCAGAGCGCGCGCACGTACGTACGTACCCTGTACACCCGGCTGTGCGTTGACGATGACGCCCACCGCACGTCGATGCCAGGGACGGCCGGTACGATCGAGTGGTGGCTGCCTGGCTAAAGTGGCTATCGTATCTCGGCTCGCTTGGTCTCCACTGCACGCCATGCCGGCCCTCCCCTCCGCAAGAACTCATGTGCCGGCCCGGGCCGGCCATGCGTGCATGTGTACAGCAACATGTGTGTGTGCCCAGAGCCGGAACTGATCGCATCACGCATTGATCATGACCGGGCGGGCGGGTTATTACCCTGCTGCTCGAGAGAGCGTGCGCACATGATTGCGCGCGTACGTGTCAGTGGACTGCGATGCGAGCGGCAGGTCCAGTGGCTTGGCGCGCGGCCGGCCGGGCATGATCATCGGTGCGTATGCGTTGGTGTGGGGGATCGATGATGCACGGAGGGCCCGCCGGCCGGGCGCTCTCTCTGTCACAAGGAGATTTTGGGTGGTGGTGGTCGCATCCCCGCGCGCTCGAGTGCACCCCGTACCAACCCAACACGTCCGCTGTCATGGAGAGCCCGGAGGGTGACTGATATCATTGTTTTCTCTCGTTATAAGATGTTCTCTTCTTTGATTGTTATTATTATAAATAACAGATTACCAGCTGCTAATATAATTCACAACATTGTGTTTGTGTCGCATATATATGCTCGTTGATGAGTGAGAAGCGTAAAGATCACATCATTTATATCAAAATGGAATGGGCTCGTGTAAAATGAGAGAAAGGAATCCTCTACAATGCATGTGTCTCAGCTCTCACCTTAATCTGATCAGCTAACCAACCAGTTGTGTCCGCCAACTATCACATACAAAAAGAAGCCTTTATATATTTTTATTTATATTTATACTACAAAGCATATATATATATACAAAAAGAAGGCCAAATATTCTTCGACACACAACTCTCTCCACTATACGCGCATACTTTTAGCTCAACCCTCCTTTGGCTTTTGTCAGCCACTCAGCTCTCATCGCCTGCTATATATACACACAGCTCTCCTGCTCTCTTTCCTTCTCCCTTCCGTGTTCCAATTTCTCCTGCTCTCATCGCCTGCTAGATTCACTCCAGCCCCGGCCCTCTCCATTTCTAATAACTAGCTAGAGCCAGCTACCAGAGCAGCTGCTGCGTAACATACAGTGTATGCACCAGGCAGCATGGCGGAGTGCAAGGACAGCGGCCGGTCTCCGTCGTCGTCCATGGACAGCAGCACCCACCCGGTGCTCTCCACCACGTCATCGGGCTGCCGGCCGGCGGCGAGGAGGGACGACCTCAGCACCGATCTTCAGCTAGGGCTCAGCCTGTCGCCGGCGTCCTCCCTCCTGGTAGCGGAGAGCAAGAGCATCCCTTGTACGCCAAGGTTTCGATTCTATCTATCTTCACCCACAACTCTCTTAATTTCTCCCTTCTTAATTAACTAGTAGCTTCGTACGTGTTAGATGATATCAGCAAGTCGTAGATGCATATGCAAGCAATAAGCTGGCTAAGGCTTCCCCTAGCTAATGGAACAAATAAACTTGCATGGCTGATTCCGGCCGATTATATCTCTTTTCGTTTTTTCAATTTCAATTGATTACTCAGCTTTATTAGATGAATCTGCACCTCACCATTTATCTGTTGGAGATCAATTCTAGTGCGCATGTGCATGGTGAATTAGAGGTTAGAGAGCTATTATGTGGTTCTTCCTGTTCTTCTTTGGATCTCTTCCCATCCACATGGCAGATCATATACGTGAGCCACCATGAGCTCATCATCAGCTCAGTCTATTTCTTTTTTTTCCCCGTTCTCGGATAGTACTCCTATCTCTCATGTATGAATTGAGAAAAGTGTTTCTTTTTCCTGTCCATCACGCGACATAAAAACATGTAATATCTTAGATTTGTCAACTTTCTTGTTTCCACATGCCTAAAAACAGATCTTTGTTTATTATTATCATACGATAGCATTTCAAATATATTTTTCATAATTACTTTTAGTAGTGGTTCCTAATTAAAGAGAAACTATGATCTGAATTCTGACATGTGAAACAAACTGTCTTGAATTTAGTATTGTGGTTTATTTTTTTATCTTGCAACATTTTTTCCTCAATTTTCTCGAGGGCATAAGTTTCTTTCAGTTTTCGATCAACTTGATTACTTGGTCATACTACCCCCAAAAATAATACTTGATCATACTACAAAGTACAAACAAAGGAGAGCTATAAAATAATCAGATTTTCACCGAGCCAGACATTTTAATTTAGTATTCTTAAGAGTATAACCTTAGCCTTAATTGATCATTGATATCTTCACAACAACTTTCATATTTGTTTTGTCGTTATCATATCTCTAAAATATACAGCATCCCGATTAATGTCCCAACAGTACTCTCCATCCAATTGGTTCCCTTGTGCACGTCATCTACATTTATTAACAACACTTTCAACACGAACGGATGATGATGGGCAGGAACCGAGTACTCCCGGATTGGCCCCCGATCAAACCGTTCCTTAGAAGCGCCTTGACAGCCTCGGCACGCCGACAGCGAACATTGTTCGTGAAGGTGTACATGGAAGGCGTTCCAATCGGTCGGAAGCTGGACTTGCTCTTGCTGGATGGGTACGACAGCCTCCTAGCGAAACTCCGCCACATGTTCAAGGCCTTCATCACTTGTAAGTATGCATCTAAAGTTCATTACCACAGATTTTTAAGGATTGGAACCTAAAAAAGAAAAAAAAAGAAAAACGTCAAACCATGATGGATGCAGAAATGGATATACCCACATAATTGAACGATAGAATGGATTGTAATTATTCCATGCCAACACTAGCTTTTCTTAATTGGGATTCTAGCCACTAGCACTAGACCACAAATTTGAATTATTTAATTTTTGGAGGAATTCCTGCCTCACACTTTAAATTGGATAGATAAACTTCAAGACATGATGTCACATCTTGCTATGTCATTATATTGTATTGCAATGCTTGCCAGTCCCTCTATAATCAATATGTGATATGATTAGATGCTGATGTTATGGAGTACCATCAACGTGTTCCTCACGAGAAGGCTGCACATGTCCTCACCTATGAAGACCAGGATGGAGACTGGATGATGGTTGGGGATGTACCGTGGGAGTATGTTTCTTCTCCGCTTAAATGATTCACTTGCATTTCATTTACTGTTAGTTAATCTTATCTCTGTCCATTGTTCTGGCAGGCTCTTCCTTGGAAGTGTAAAGAAACTGAGGATTGCAAGAACAGATAAATGCTAGTTAGCAAGCTTATTCATGCGGTGGACTCTATATTTATTTCTTCTTTTTATATAGGTTCATTAAGAAAGATTTTGCTGAACAGAGTGGAGATGTGATGCTGAGGCTATACTAACCGTGTACAGTATACTGAAGAAAAGTCAACCTTGCTACCTTCCCTAGAAAATTAAATTTTGGTATTTTATGTTTCCTTTTCTGTTTCTTTGACTGCCTTGTAAAGACCATGGTTAAAGAACAGGCAATTTGCATGAAGATTATTATAATTCCAAGATATATATCTTCGTGCAAGTAAGGAGTAGTATATGCAAACCTTTTCTTGTTTATTTAGTACTACAGTTACAAAAACGATAACATGGTGTTATAAGGATTACAGAAAACTAATCACTAGTAGTCTCTTAGTGCAGTGCAGCAAGTGAAAGAGAGATATTTTCCCTTTTCTTGAAACCACATAATTCCAATTTTGCTTTATCCTTTAATAAAATGAGTGGAGCAAAATTGTACTGCCATTTTGAGCTTGGGTTCGGGGATAGCTTGATCTCCGGCTTTATTAACTGTTTGAGACGAAACAAGATATCATACATTTATTACTCAAATTTTTAATAAAATTTATTATTACTATGAACGAAGAACTACTCTCACTAAAGGAATTAAACTTCTCCAAATATGGTTTGAATGAGTCATACCTTTCAGATTTCACTGCCGGGATGCTCATGAACCTTGAGTATGCAGAAACTCCTATAGGCTTTATTGCCTTAACTGTGTGTATATAAAATGGGCAGCGGGCTTTTCTGTTTGACAAGTGCAGCCGTCATCCTTTGAGACAATAGAAACCTCAAGTATTCATAGGGTACAGATTTGGTTCTCAATTGTTGATTAAGCTGTATCCCTTTTCCTTCCTTAACTCCTGAAACATCATCCATCTCCGCACCTCCTTTGCCTCCTCCAATCTTCCATGTGATGCATAGATATTAGCAAGCAGGACATAGTTCCCAGTATTACCTGGCTCAATGACAAACAGCTTCTTGGCAACCTCCTTACCCATCTCAAGGTCCCTGCAGTTTATGCAAGCCGAAAGGAGTGCCCCAAGAACTGATGCATCTGGCTTAGGTCGCATCTGGTTGATGAATCGCTTCGCCTCAGTTAGAAGGCCTGCTCGCCCAAACATGTCAACCATGCACGCATAATGCTCATTCCCTGGTGTGATCTTATGAACTTGAGTCATTGAATCGAAGTACTTGCGTCCTTGCTCAACAAGTCCGGTGTGGCTACAGGAAGAGAGAACACTAACAAATGTGATGTGGTCCGGAGGAATGCCATTCTCTAGCATATTCTCAAATACATCGATTGCCTGCATTCCATGTCCATGCTGCTGCAGTGCAGTTATCATGGCCATCCAGGACATTACATGCAAGGCCACGTTTAGTTCATCCAAATTCCAGAATTTGGCACTATACAAAAAGAAGATTCCCCGTCACATCAAACTTGCGGTGCATGTATAGAGTACTAAATGTTGACGAAATCAAAAACTAATTGCACAGTTTAGTTGTACTTTGCGAGACGAACGTTTTGAGCCTAATTAGTCAACGATTGGATAATTATTATCAAATAAAAACAAAACGCTACACAGTGCCGCGAATTTGGGCGGCGCCAAATCTGGGGCCGAACTAAACGCGGCCCAAATGATCTTTTGTCCCAACAAATGCTCGGTGTGCATCGTCCAAGCAGACACATTTGGAGTACATGGTGAGGAGAGAGCTAGCAACGCCATCACTGTCCAAGAACCCTGTCTTTACGACAGAGGCATGCATGCTTGCTCCTATAGCCCATGCCGACATACATGCTGATGCCTGCAGTACAGTAGCAAAGGCCACATCATCGGGCAAGGTACCGCTCCTGACCATGGACCGAAAAAGCACACAAGCTTCGTTGAAGCGATTGTCATGAATGCAACCACGAATGATGATGTTCCAGGTGACAACATCCCTGCAACCCATATCATTTAGCAGGGCGAAAGATTCTCGTGAACATCCACACCTGGTGTACATGTCAAGAAGAGCGTTGCTGACACAAACCGCGCACAGGTCCAGCCCCACCTTGGCAGCGCACGCATGTACCTGGCGACCAAAGTCCAGGGCCCCTGCCACAGTGCAAGCGCTGAGCACACTCGACACGCTCACCTGATCGAGAGACACCTCCCGCCCCTGCGCGGCCAACTCCCTGAACACCGACAGTGCTTCGAGGCACATCTTGTTCCTGGCGAAACCAACGAGGATCGCGTTCCACGACGCCGGGCCCCAGCTCGGCATTTCATCGAACACCTTCCTGGACGACTCCATGTCCCCGCCCTTGGCGTACGCGTCGACCATCCCGGTGTAGACGAACACGTCGCCGGGAGGTACGACCTTGGCCGCTGACGGCGCGAGCCCGAGAAGAGGGAGAATGCGAGGTCCGGGTGTGGCCGCGCGAGGGCAGAGACGAGGTCGGCGTAGGTGTGGAGGTTGGGGCTGGGTAGGTGGGCGCGGAAGGCGCGGAGCGCGTCGGCGAGGCGGCCCAGGGCGGCGTAGAGGGAGACGAGCTGCGTGAGGAGGACCGGGTGCGGGTGAGGGCGCGCGCCAGCAGAGACGAGGAGGCGGGCGTGGAGCTGCGCGGCATGAGCGGAGAGGAGGACCGTCAGCTCGCGGACGCTGCCGCCTCCCGTGCTCATGCATGCGGGCTGGGCGGCGGAACGGTGTTAGGCGTGCACTGCGGTGAGCTGCACTGCTGTTTTCTTTCTTTCTTTCTTTCTTTCTTTTTCTGAGATGAGAGGAGCTGCAAAGTTCTTTTTTTTTGAAGGTGCTGCAATGCTGTTGGTTTCCCATCGTCGGTGCCGCGGTGCGGGTCGCCATGGACCGTCCGGTGTGGGCCTCCCAATCGCCCACCGTTCACCGTGGTGGGCTGCGGTTCGTCGAGGTGTGGGCCTTTTGCGAGAGATATGGTCTGTTGGGTTTGGGTCGATTTTGTCCCTAGCGGCATGGGCACGACGGGGCCGCCGCCCCCATGGGCTTTTTAGACCATGGGCTCATAGCCCGGTGCTCTCGTGCCAGCAGCCACGTTGATTGGTCAAGACTTTGGTCTCCCCCGCCTCTTCTTGAGCAGGCCACCTAACCTGTTTTCGGGTAATAATAATAATGATATTAGGGAAAGACCAGCGTCCAGACGTCTGGCTGGACGTCCAGACCTACTGCTCGCCCACGCGCCTGACGCGCTCCCTCTGCATGTAGGAGGAAACGGCGCAGCAATGCACTTCCCTGGACGCATGCGGCCAACAGAAGGGACGCGTGCACCGCGCCTTCGCCTCCCACTTTGCCCACGCACGGGCCCCATAGCGCAATGCAGCTCCTGCCCGTCCGCTGGCACGCTGCCGCTGTTGTTATCGCCGCGCGCTGTTGCTGCTGCGCTTGCCGGCCCGGCCCTGCCTGCTGCTGCGGTACGCATGCACCTACGCATGCATGTAGGGGACACCGTGCCCGTTTTGCTTCTCGCGCGCACACGGGGACCGCTGTGCCCGAGGGGACCACCTCCGTCTGCGCCCGGTCATGCAACACTTGCAACATACGGCCGAAACAGATGGAACATTTACGAACATACGCTTGCGACGTACGTGTATAGCCAGTGCAACATATGTAACATCTAGATAAAATACTTTCAACATACGTTTGAAAGAGTTAAAACATTTGAAACATACACTTGCAACATACGTGTATAGCCAATGCAACATATGCAACATCTAGATAAAACACAATTGCAACATACGTTTGAAATAGCTGAAACATTTGAAACATACACTTGCAACATACGTGTATAGCCATTACAACATATGCAACATCCAGATAAAACACTTACAACATATGTCTGAAACAACTGAAATATTTGAAACATACATTTGCAACATACGTGTATAGCCATTGCAACACATGCAACAACAGATCTACTTTTGAAACATCTAGATAAAAATATATGCAACATACATTTGAAACGCATGAAACATACAGTTGCAACATGTACGCTCATTTACTTGCTGCCCTCCAGTGGAGGCTTGTTGACGTGGAGTTCGACGTCGGCGCGGAGCTCAAGGTCGCCCATGGTCGACAGACAGATGGATCGTGGGCACGGTGGGAGGCGCGGGCGCGTGCGAGGCATGGGCAAGGATGCACAGCGCGGGGACGCATGACGCGAGGCATGGATCGGTCCAGTCTGGAAAAGGACGGATACCTTGAGGGTATCATTATCGTAAATTCATAATGATAATAATAAACAAATGAAAGAGTGACACAGGCCCCCTTGATGATTTCTAGATGGGGAGTCGTAATCTTTTGATGGCCTAGATTGGATGACACCTGATTGAAAGTTATTTACCTTTATTTTGCCATGATTATATGGTTGAAGATTGAAGTCTACCGTGTCGATTAGGCCCTCTTAACTTTTGTTGGAGCCGCGCTGTACCAACGGAGAAGTAGCAAGCCACACAAAACTGTTACATCAAAAACAAAATTTCGTTTTCCAAAAAACAGCGACACAAAACTACCGGACTATACCATGTGATGCACACTTTCAGCTTTTGTCTCCGGCCTGGCTACCGCCATTCAGCTTCCTTGTTGATCTTATCTATATAGGCGTGTAGTCAAAAGTTTCAGCAAAAACAACTTTTTTTTTATTGAATATGCCCTAACACTTATTCTGACAAAACTTATAATTTATAATAATATATTTTTAATAATCCATTGTTATCACGAATGAAGCCTAGCGAATTTGCTAAGTTTATTTAATGAAACTTGTGTATCCAAATTTGAGTTCTCCACTCACATGCATGTGTTTGAACTTTATTAATTTCAGAAAAATAAGAGGAAAAACTATGAATATTTTTTGACAGCAAAAGAGAAAAAAAAGATCGTGTCTATACATAAAGAAACATACATCTGCAAATGTTACTACACATATATGTTCACAAGGGTATCTTGGACAATTGACCTCTCTCAACCATGTATGAAGCTGTTTTCCTAAACAGTTTTCTAAAATAGCTTCAGCTCTACCGATAGAGTCGTTCATGGAGCCAAACCTAAAAAAAAATATGGCTTCATTAGTGAAGTAAAGCCCTGCGTCTAATACTTAACCATGGTGTCACATTGCATCATCCGTCGTTACGTTTTCCACTAGGAGTCGTCCTTGCCTGAGCCGTTTCTGCACAGGTATACAGCTTGATTGCTGGGCTGGGCTGGCTGGCTGGCCCACCCCCTTACATGACTACTATTTACGCGAATCAGCCAGCGATACTTCTCTCACGTAAACTATTCAGCCAACCGAACAGACCGATAAATCCCAACCACCCCTGGCGCTCTCGCTCCGGTCACGGCTGCTCAATTGGTCACAGGCTCACAGCTGTTCAGTACTGTGGACGCATAAATCGACCAGCGGGAAGAAAGAGGAGACACATCCATCCTCCAGGGCTCCAGAGATCGACTGATCGAGCAAGATGAAGGAGGGCACGGCGAACTGCGTCGACATCCTCATCGCCATCATCCTCCCCCCACTCGGCGTCTTCCTCAAGTTCGGCTGCAAGGTACGTAATTATCCATCTAGCTAGGATCTTACACCTCAACAAAATCAGTTACTCCTCTGTTAGTACGTGCCAGCGATCTGATTGACGGGCGGTGCGGTTGAGTTCGAGTTGGCTTGCTTGCTAAAAGAATTCGATCGATGGCAGGTCGAGTTCTGGCTCTGCCTCTTGCTCACCTTCCTCGCCTATCTTCCGGGGATCATCTACGCGATCTACGCCATCACCAAGGACTAGCATGGTACCAGTTGGGTATCGGACAAGGTGAGAGCTGATCAACATCCCGTCTGCAGCTTCTTTCTTCTCTTCTCGGCAACAGTCGAAGTCGATTGAGCGCTTGATCAACAAGCGGAGTAATGGAAATGAACTACTGAGCTGCCAGCGTAATAATCGCTTGCCCTGCTGCTCAATGTTTCTTGATGCAGGAACGACCGCGCAGGATGTAAAATTCTACGTACAAGTGTCTTTTGGAGATTGAATCTCAGCTGTGAAGCTACTACTACCGATTGAGCCTGGATTTGTCGCTTCGTTCGTTCGTGTCCATCCATCGCTCTGGTTGTTGGTCGTGGATCTTACTACCAATTTATTTAGTATCATACAGTAACTTGTGCTGTTCTGTATTTGATTCAGTGGTCTGCGTAAAATTTGTCTCGAACTTGTGATATAGTGTGATGCATATATTGCTCCATGAATTTGGATGGACCTCAACGACGATGACGAGGCCCTGCCATGTGTCTGTAACTCGTTTCTTGGTTGTTGGGAGTTGGGAGGCCGCCACGCCAGTTGATTGAGGTTGGCGTGAAGCTTGAGCGCTTCAGCACATCTGCACATGGCGCAGCCGGCGGCTTCCAGTCTTCCACGGCTGCGGGCGCTGCGTCTGCGGCTGCTGGGCCGAGCCCCGTCTGAGGAGAAGCACGCGAGCTGGAGCAGGCCAGGACGCGGCATCTGGGCTGCGGTCGCTGGGTTGGGCCGGGATTGAGAGAGGCGGGAGAGCTGGGCTGAAAACGGCAGCAGGCTAAAAGCCAACAGAAAAAGGATAAGGAAAAAGTTTTCCTTTTTCTTAACAGGTTTTAAAATCTAGCTTTTTTGAAGCTTATTTTTCAAAACAAGAACAAAACCTATTCAAATTTTCTAAATTTATTTTTTACACATCAAAACTCATGCAAGGGCATGAATGCAGCAAACACACTTTCATTGACTTTGTAAAATTTGTAAACCACATTTTCACTCTTTAGGTTGACAATGAGCTAAATAGATCTTGGAAAATTTTAGGAAAAAATCCTTAAATCGTTTATTTTATTTAGTGTTTTCTACTCACAACCAAAGTATAGAAGTTTTAGGGTGTGACACTTCTCTCCCCTCTTCCACTCTTGGTTGCTCATTCTCTAATAAGGGGAGGAGGATAAAGGTTAGGTGTTGCCAAAGGAAACACGAGGGATGTTAACGGTAATGACGGTTATTAACAATCTTTTGCATTTTTGTTGTGTCAAAATTAAAGGCATTCTGTTGATTTTGTTCGCATATCACACGTGCTGTTTTGAAACACGTATGCACCAAACTAGACAAAGCACATGACATAGTAGGCCATGTGGATGTCACCAAAATTGCACATTATTCTCATACATGTTTATATTGGATCAGACCACCCTTTTCTAGTGACTTGTGGAGTCATCAGTGCAAGACCAACATCACAACACAATGGCAGAAGGTTACATCCATTACCTAAAAAAACATATATATGTTAAGTACAGCAGTCATATCTTGCGCGTATATAGCGAGGCATTTTCTTGCGCAATCTCACAATTTAAACTCAGATCTAGCTTTTCCAAGTGATTCTTTAGCATGCATTTATGGAGTGCAATTTGTAGCCGCTGAATGGTTTGATGGCAGTTACTAAATGCAATGTCTCACATGACTTTTGCGTAACCTACCTGCTCAAGAGGAAGGTTCTGGGCAGTCCTCATGATGGATCTAATTAGGCTACAAGTAAATGCTTGCCATAATATCATGTTTATAATAATAACTATTCACCAATATATTTCATCTAGGCAATGTCTCACATGACTTATGCATAACCTACCTGCTCAAGACGAAGGTTCTACCTGGCAAGGTTTTCATTTTCGGAAATTAAAATTTATCGGGGATAAAGAGGATAAACAGGATATATTGGAAATATCGGACTAAATTCAAATAAAATGTAATTTGAATTTAAGTAAATTTAAACAAAATTTATACGAAAAAGATAGATATTTCCTTATCGGCACCTACGGATAAAAAGAATATATCGGAAATATCAGAAGATTTCAGCCGATATTGGAAACCATGCTACCTGGTGGCCTTGGTAGAAAGTAGTAATGAACATTTGACTACTATCACGCAGTCCTCATGATGGATCTAGTTAGGCCAGATGTAAATGTTTGCCATAATATCATGTTTATAATAATAACTATTCACTTATATTTCATCTAGGCTAGAGCCTCAGGATCTATATAAACATAAGCCTTCCCCCTCTATCATCTAACCTCTCATAACCAAAGCAACAATTTTTCCTTCCTGTTTTTTTTTTGTTTTGGATAAATGTTGTGATAGACGCTAGGCTGACTTTTAACTCTGCCAACTACAAGGATGAGAGTTGAAAGATCTATATATAATGTTTGAATAAGGGTTAGGGGTCCCAAATTTGTAGGCTAGCTTTCTTGCTTGATACCCTAGAACGCTAGGATCATGGCTCACAAGAAGGTGAATCTCCAATGGATCACCAAAGCCTCCAGCCGTCGTGCGACCTTTAGGAGGCGCCGCGATGGCATTAAGAAGAAGGTCGATGAGCTAGCCACGCTCTGTGGCACCAAGGTGGGTGTGGTGTTGTACGGCGAGAATCAAGATAAGCCATTGGCTTGGCCTAATGATTCAGAGGCCAAAGCTATGTTCCAAAAATTCATCGACATGCCAGATTATGGCGAAAGATTCAAGAAAACGCAGAATCAGGAGGAACTCCTTAGCAATCGCATCCCCAAGCTCCAACACCAGGTAAGCAGGTTGGAACATGAGAACTACAAACGTGAGATCTCGTTCCTTCTCTATGAGAGCATGGATGGACAACGCCCTGGCCTCATCGGCACCACTGAGAAGGAACGCACCAGCCTTGGTGAGATGGTAGAAGAGAAGACTAAGAAAGTCAAAGAACGTATACGACAGCTTCGTCAGCTTGGCATCTGGCAGGGAAAGGGAGCAGCACCGGAGCCCCCTCTGCCACTGCAGCTAGGGTCATCGTCAGCCCAGCCACTAGCACCCTACACTTTCAATGAGATACAAACATCATTGGTGCCGGCAGTGGGACACGTGCCACCCCAGCAGCAGGATTGGATTGCTAGCCTCACCAACAACGGAGGGGAGCATGGCACCATCGTCTCCCGTCCCTTCGTCGGTAGCAGTGGCGGGGTTGACATGTTGCACCCTTACAATATGGATTATTTCTCAAGGTTCCCATAGCCATGGGAAAGGGACCCCTGCGCTCCCATGGAATGAGGCATCGCCGCTCCTGCAGCAGCCATTCATGCCAGCTCTACATGCACGGTGGTCTATGTCTATTGCTACTAAGGGTCCTATTTTAGAATTGTTTTCTGTGTGTCTCTTGCTATCGTGCTCTGGCAAAGTCGAGAAGTTTAAGTTATCCTTTATGTTGTTGGTTAGCATTTCTGTGTGTCTACCATAGCATGAATCCTTGTAATATCTCATTTCTATGGATCTATAAATCTTTGATATTGCTAGCGCCTATTGTACTATTTGTGTTGTTGTTGCTTGTGCATATACAAGAATAGATCTCGAGCATAATCCGTATGAAATGTGAGATAATCATTTCAATTACTTGATGGTGTGGGCGTAAGATACTTGTTATGATGAGGACTGGGAGTTTGATTAAATGAATAGCCACTAATAGAGAACGCAGGATTTTGCAATTGCAGGCTGTTCTGCATTGTTCCTGAGATAATATGAAAATAGTGGCAATTGTTTCCTAATCCAAGTGCAAAATGTTGGTACTTCAAGAGATGATGCTCTATCGAATGATAACCTTGTGTTACATTTTGAAATTGTCAAGTATAGTATAAAATTTGAATTAGGTACTAGATGGATCATCGCAAGAATTTTCCATAAAAAAGGTTTTAGACTATCAGCAAATACCAAGTACACTAGTTGACTGATAAAAAAAATAATCTGCATTGTCTCTCTAGGCCAAAAAATTCCCATGTTAAACAAAAGGGTGAAAAAAATTGAAAAGTCCACTCATTTTAAAATCACCCGTCACATACAAAGCAATAACCAAAATCTTCTATAAATTTATAAATTGACAACCATAGATGTTAGGGAAAAAACTACTTAGAGCATCTCCAAGAGTTCCCAAATTTTTTTTCCCAAAACCATGAAGTTTTCCATCTTGCCAAAAAGTATTGGAAGGAATAAATAAGATCATGTCCAACAGTTTTCAATAACTCACTCTGATAATATAGAAGACAATTTTACATCAGGAATCCTATACTATATCTAAATTATCCTACCATTTTTATATATTCTTTCTCTCTTGTACATTTGCATTAGGAACCCTTTTTCTACTCTTTATTCTTTCCCCGCCATTCCACCTTTAAATTGGCCAAACTATACGGGCTTTGGATCGCAGCGGGAGAAATACGCGTGAACCGGAGTCCGTGCATCTTTACACACAACGGAGGTTTTTTCCCCAAGTGCCAAAAGATTGGGAGGTGAGTTTGTGAGTTGTTGGAGATGGATTTTTTTCATTCTTCCCAAAAATCATGGATTGGGAAGGATTATTAGGTACTCTTGGAGATGCTCAAATCAAGCTAACTGCTAATAAAGATAATATCTTTTTAAGTTAGCGATATCTTTTAATTTATGTAAAAGTTTCTCATGCATTAACCTATCAAAGTTCAAATCAAACGAGCTGTTGATGATCTAAAATGTAAAAAGTAAAATGCAACATATATCAATAGGTGTTAAAAAAAAGAAAATAAGATAAAGCCCCATACATGGTGTTAGAGATATAGTCAAATTTATTTTTCCTTGTAATATAATAGATATATATCTCTAGCTTAGGGTCGACTGAGACTAGGCGATTGAAGTTTGTTATGTAGAATTGCATATTTCACGCATGCAGTTGTTGTAGATGAGTCTTCACCAAACTTTAGTTAGAGCTATACATTTCTAATTTATGTGTCTTGTGATGTGCCAAGTGTCACAACTACAATTTTTTTTGTAGGTGAGCCTTTTGGATTAACGAACTGCCTACGTCCAAAGGTCACGGTTAATCCAGACCTACGGAGGCGATTTGTAACACCCTAAAATTTGCTTCTCTTGAAATAGAGCTAAAATGATTTAATTTTGTATTTTTATGCTCATGAAAACATGGGGAAATAATAAATTTTCATTAGATTAAAATTTATCTTAAGGTAGAAACGTGTTTGTTGCATTCATGCCGGTCGCACCATGTGTTTATATGTGCAAAATATGTTTTTTTAAATATGATTAGGAGACGAATATCTATCTCTAGGAATTTTCCAGCTTCTTTCTAGAATTTAATTCCTACCTCCTTCACCTTAATCTTTATGTTCCAAGTTCCCAACAATCTTTTCATGAGCTCCAAATACTTTATTTGGGTTCATCATGTTCCAAAGTGTCTCTAGGAATTTTCTCCAAATTTTCGGAGGTCTCGGAGCATTTTTCGTGGCTTAAATATCAATTCTGGACTTTTCTAGAATTATTTTATTCATAAAATTAATTAATTCCGAAAATAAATAATATATCTCATTTTCCAACCAACTCTCAAAACCCATGTGCAATAATCCTAATAAATCTCAAAGCCCCATGCATTTATTTACTAATGAGCTTTAATGATTATTTAGGTCTATTAGTAAATGTGGAGGGTGCAACATCAATTAGTACCATATTGCTAGTTGATGTAGATGTGGGAAGTTTTTCTTCCTATAAATATGTACCAACCCCTTGGGCAAAGCACACCAAAACTACCATAAGGGGAGCCCATAGTTTGGAAATTCCTCGCGTAGTAAATTAGATTTTTCTACTCCTCTCGTCGTCGCCGTTGCCATCGCCGCCACGCTGCCCGACGCCGTAGACCCGCCGTAGATCACAAGAAGGCCCTAGGTGAGTTCGCCGTCTTCTCTTATTCCCTGTGCTTTTGGCTCATCAAACCGTGGCCTCTAGGACCCAGACCAAGCGCTCCGGGGAGCTTTTCGCCGCCGGTAATGGAGCTCCGCCGTGCCGGTTTTCTTCTCCGGCCGGTGACTCTCTCTCCCCCTCCTTTCTAATTTGGGCCATCCAGATTCAATCCAATGGTACAAGATCTCCCGTACCCCTTCGTCGGGTTTATTTGCAAAAGAGCCCCTGCAGTTTCGCGTAATATAACCCGCAATCCATGGCGCACTTCCAGAATATGTTTTCCTATTTTGAAAGCATAGTTTCTTTCTAGTAGATTCAGAATACGTTTTCTCTTTCAGAAAGTGTAAATCCCTCTATTAGATTCAGAATACGTTTTCTTCTTTTAAAAACATAGTTTCTTCGGTTAAATCCAAAATACGCTTTCATCTATTTATAGTTTTGCCATTAGTCTTATTTAGGCCATAAAATCTTTGTTTTAACTCCGTTTTGATCCATTCAAGTTGCGTTAGATTTGTAATTGAGTAATCTATATGTTCATGCTACTGTTAAATATATTTTCAACTTTTGAAATTCGAGGTTAGATTTAATCTATTATTTTATTAAAGGAAATCTTGTTTAATTCATAACTTTTTCGTTATAGCTCTGATTAGAGTGCTTTTCGCGTCTGTGTGTTCGTAGCGAGACATAGATTTGTTTTACAAACTTTTCATCTTGATTTTATGTTTGGTGTACTGTTCTAATTTAGATCTATTGTTTGCTTCATGTATGATTGCATGGATGCTTGTGTGGTGCTTTATGATCATGTCCAGTCGGTGAGCTTTGCGTCGGTGATATAAAAGAAGTTGGTGATCCGGAAGAAGTCCTTTGGAGGTTACAATTCAATAGAAGATGGATTTAAATTTAAGGCAAATATAGCATGGGATATTCCTTGTTGTCCTATTCACCTTAATACCATTTTAATTATATGCATGTGTCTACCTTGGCAACCGTAGTAATTTTCTTAGCTATTTGATATCCTGGATTTCTTGATTTATATGGGTTATTGCATTGGGTAGTATGATGCTAGTGCTCAACTAAAGTCATGATCTTGTAACTTGACTAATGGTATATGCAATAAACATTAAAAGATGCTTTTTAGCAACATGGAATAAGAGGGCTAGAGCATTGGGTTGTTTTTATGGTGCTCTAGATTCCTCTCCCTAAGGACTTATCTGTAAGCGAACATCTGGGACTTATAGTACAGCTATGAGGGCTACTTGGTTCTGACTTTAATTCAGTATGAGGACCTTTTCTAGCTTGTTAGTGGTTTCCTTTATGGCGCAAGAGGTGCTCCGACAGGTATGATCTCGGCCTGCCAAGATGGTGCACTTTGGTTTCTTGGTATTTTGTTAGTCACTCCTTGGAGAGGGGTTCATGCTTATTGATGGGGAAACCTTAGCGGCCCTAACTTGTTAGACAAACCTTTGAAAGGCTTTATAGTGAACCCTGCCGATCTTCCTTGGTAGTGGGTCAAGAGGTTAGCCGCCTTGGGCGAAAGGGTAAATCATGACTCATAGTGAAAGTGTACAACCTCTGTAGAGTGTAAACTGGTATATCAGCCGTGCTCACGGTCACGAGTGGCCTTGGACCCTTACGGAATAGATGAAGAACACGGATGATACTGATGATGAAGATGCACACTAATGATTACTGTTTATGTTGTTTATTATTCATGTTTACCTGATCATGTGTTTATATGGGCTTGTGAATAAACTTGTTGCCACCCAATTGCTAAAAGATGACTCATTAAAAGCTAATCGCAGTTAAACCAGAGTCAGCCTTTGGAGCCTCATGAACCCCATGTTATATTTGTTGAGTACGATATGTACTTACACTTGCTTTACTTTTTAAATCTTTGGAAAAATCCTGGATGGGTACTAGATTGCTAGAGTTTGGAGGAATTATGCTTGTGATCAACCAGTCAGTTGTCCCTGTAGAATTGGAGTCTTCACCCAAAGATCAGAGTTGTCTTTTCGCTGTTTGCTGTCTAAGGTTATATCCTTTATACTAAGTATGTTATATATTAAGCATTGTCTATTGATATTACCTTTATTTGTGGCTATATGCGAGATTTGACTTCCTGGGCTCACATATGGTGTGTATCTAGTTTTGTCCTTAAAACCGGGTGCTACACGATTGCATCGCCCGCCTCAGTTAATCCATTAACGGAGGGAGACATCTTATAGTCCTCGCCTCCGTTCATCGATTTAAAAAAATAAAAAAGCCCGAGCGAGCCCAATCGAGCCCACTGCTGTCACGTCTAT